AACGCCCCCACGTCTGAAAGGGCGAGCACGTTTGGTGTGACTGGGATTCGAACTCGCGACCCACAGATTGCGAGTCGAGCGCCCTAACCACCTGGCCATACCGGGCCTAGCTTGTCAAGACGGCTTAACAAACTAATGGGGCGGAAGTTGTCCGGGTTTGATCTACTGGTTTGCTTTTTGGGTATTACGGTAGTTATTGCTTTTTTACACGTGTCTGGATAGTAACCAGTTAGTAGCGATAGATTGATAATGTTCGTTAGGTGTAATAGTAGAAGGTTTGAAGCTTTTTTTTAGTTCTTCAGTCGTGATGTTTCTATTTATTCGGTTTTGTTGGTTTGTTTTTAAGGTTTCGTGTAAGTTTTTGGCTGGGAACACGGAGTGAAAAGTATTGGATTCATGTCGATGTAGTTATTTACCTGGCTGTGGGCTGGGTGTTAAAATTCGGAGAATTTAAGTTGCTGAAAGAAGTTTCATAATAATTGGCCAGCGAATTAGCTTTGTCTGAATCAGTTTTAACTGTAATGTTATTATGTTTTATTTGGTGGAATAAATTATTATTATTATTGTTAGCTGACAGGGATATAAATTCTTTGGGTTTACTTCGTGAGTTTTCTGGGTTATTGCAAAATCTAGCCAGTTGGTCTCTTTCAATGTTGTGCATTTATTTTGTTTATCTGAGTTTTAACGGTGGGGCTACGCGAAATGCAATGTCTTCTGTGGCTTTGTTAATAGTCTTGGTTATATTTTCTGCATATGTGTTGAGTTTGTCTTTATTGTTTATGCAAGTGATTATTGGCGGTAAATGATCAGTAAGCGAATTGTTTAATGACTGTCAATCGGTTTTAGTGTAGTTGAAGCCTGGTGGAAGGTCTCGCGGTGTCGGGGGTTCTCCGTGTGTCAAGCGTGCACAATATAGGAAAATGATCATTTGAAAGCTCTTGGTGTACCGTGAAATTTCATGTTTTTATTAGTAGAGTGGTTGGGAATATTATTATATCTAATACGTCGTACGTGTTTCATAGTGAGTTGGTGTATTAGTTGTTGTTGTTTGAAGTTAAGCACAAAGGTACACAATGGGCTATCTGTGCTCTGCCCACCACGGGTATCGTAACTCGGTTTCTAGTGTTGTAAACCCGCAGACATACCGCTGTGCCACTGGGGGCTGGTGTCGCATCACTGATAATAAGCATGTTGTTTCTTTCTAATAAATCTCGTATAGTTACTCCTCTTTGTGAATTTCGATTTCGATTTAGGTCTTTGTGTCGAGTATTTAAGAGTTGTGGTCTTCTCGACATGCACTATTGGAAATAGTTAATGTAAATGTTTTTTGATAGAGAACAGTAAATAGCCACTATCGGTATGGTTATTTCATTATTAATATGAATGTTAAAGAAAATAATTTCATTTATATCAGATTTGAAATTTTACTCTATTGATATACCATATATTGGTTATGCTATTTTTTTAAGTATAATGCCATACCTCTGTTATATTGTGTATATGGTAGGGTGAATGGTTTGAAACCTGGCATGTTTATGTTTTGATTTTCTTTCGCTAATGATTCTGATATTATTAAAATGTCGGCTTGAATTTGTTTGTTTATATTATGAATTTCGAGTTTTTGGGTTATTAAATCACCTTGACAAGTAAGGTGTAATGTTTTTATTGAGTCTTTGAATCCTGTGTTTGTTGTGCTCGTTGATGTATTCTAAGTGATATTGGTGTGGTTTGAAGTTTGGCAAGGGGAAGTGGCGTTTGGCTACTGAACAAACGTTTTGTATAAGCTCTGGTCGTATCTGTTTGTTTGTTTGGAATTAAGCACAAAGCTACACAATGGGCTATCTGTGCTCTGCCCACCACGGGCATGAAATGATCATGGTGTCGTTGTGATCAATCCCAAAGAATATATGAATTTCCAGGATTATATACAGATATCCAGCCTGTCACAATTAAGACAAAAGATCCTCATGTACCTCAAACAAATAGCCCAGTGAAACCTGCTTCTGATCTTACCCCATCTGCAACAGAAAGAGAGATTGATTGGCTGACCAAATTGAAACAGCTGATTGATAAAGACCATCTTGACGAGAAAGGCTATTTGTCATGGGCAGCATTCCATGAATATCTTCAAACAAAACTTTCCACACCATTAGCCATCACAGCACTGCTACCATTATTCCATTGACTGGCTCATTCTGCATGCTATGAATGTCATCAAAAAAGCAGATGAACACGTAAACCCTGGTCAGACCCCAGTTTTTGCAATGGATTAACCACTGTTCTGTCTTGCAAAGCAAATTCAATGGGAAATGGCTTACAAATATGTAGAGGACAAATACATTGTTATGATGGGAGGGTTACAAATTGAAATGGGTGCACTGAAAACACTAGAGAAATGGCTGCAAGACAGTGGGTGGGCATCTGTCTTAGTTCAAGCCAATACAGCTACTCCAGAAAAGGCAGATCCAATTTTGATAGCATCACATGTAACCAGGACATGTTATGCTCATCAAGTGACAGCTGGTGCTCTGTATATTCTATAAATGGATGCATATGCAACATATGTGGATGCTGATCATGACGAGAATGAACTGCAGGACTTCAAAATATGAAGTGATGAACAATCATTGTTACATTCACAGTTTATGTTCTGGGGAATTGTCTTGCATTGGAGTTGATGGTTATGCAATATATATAATCCCTTCATAAAGGAAATTTTCCATTTATGTACAAACATTATTTCAGCTTGTTCCATGGTTTTTACCATGAATCCAAGTAACTATGCCCAATGGGCTCCTGTACATGTCCGAGATATGTTGGTCCTCCTATAGAAATATCCTGGTGTTTATCACCAGTTCCAGCAGGGCAATTTTGTCATCCAAAAATTAAAGCATTTGCTCTCATTGATAGTTCTAGACCACAATCACGAGCAGTAGAATTAAATTATTAAGGGCAAGGGTGGAGCCATTGCCCTCACTGATAATCCTGTAGCTCTACAGTACTGGATGATATCAGGTCCAGAGATAGTACGAGTGGTAACAGAGTTTGAGGCTTCCTACTTGAAGACCAACATTGAAAATATGTGCCATCATGAACAGGTCCCTGGTGTTCAAAATATTTGTGCTAAGGATGTCAAAGCACTTGTTTCGACCTTTGAGGAAATGTGAAATTCTTTCTTAGAGGATAGCACAGATCTACTGGTTTTGATAACAAACATATTATACCAGAAATTGTAGTGGGATCTGTTAAGAACGCTCAGCAGATTGGGAAATCACAGTAGGATACGTATGTCCAAAATATTCTGAAGAACTGTTCTGAACCAATTACAGACACAATTCACAGAAACAACCTTTTTACAATTTGGAACCCCATCTCAAAACAACGCATTCAAAAGTCCAACAGCAAATAACGTCTCAAAAAGACTTATATATATATATATATCATGCCAGTTCACAGACAGGAACTTGGAGGAATTCTTCAAACACAAGAATCAAGCATTTCTACCTTTCATATCTCCAGGAGGAAAATAGGTAAAAATGCGGATCTCCTTCAGTGTCTTGAGAAGAAAGCACAATCACCTGAAGTTGATGCCAAGATATTAGATGGAGCCATTATTGTCAAAATGCTGCCTCCTGGGAAGAGCAAAACATTTGAAGATTATGCCAGAAATGATTTCATTGATTATGTTATATCAAAAGTACAATCTGTTCAACGCCTCAATGTTGTATGGGACAGTTATTCTCCGAACAGTCTGAAGCAAAATACGAGAGAAGTGTGCGGACATGGTATAAGTCGACGGGTTGTTGGCCATAAAACACTTCCTGGAAATTGGCAGAGCTTCCTACGAAGGATGACAACAAAACGGAAATGTTTGCATTGTTTACAAAGCTTGTGGAAGACGTCATCAGCACAACTGCTCCTGACAAGAATGGACTTGCACCAAGTAATCATAAAGAAAGCGACACAAGGGTCTTACTTCACGCAGGTAGAAAAGGATATAACCATTTGACACAGATGTCATCATTCTTTCTATCTCAAGCATGACAAAACTATGGGTTATCTTTGAAGTTGGTAAAGCATTTCAGATACATACCTGTTCATATGATTGCAAACAGTTTGAACTACAACATTTGCACTGCGTTGCTCTTCTTCCATACCAAAACTGTATGCAACACTGTATCAGCCTTCTGTGAATGTGTCAAGAAATCAGCGTATGAGACATTGAAAGTATATACAACTGTTGCACCTATGTTCACTAAATTATCAACAAATCCACAAGTCGTCTCAAAAAAAGGAACTGTATGAAATTGAATGTATTGTCCAAGCAGGCTTCATCTGAGGACAAGCCTTAGTGCCCAGTCCAGCCTCGCCCAGCCCAGCTGATTAGGGATGGAATTTGAAAGATGGCAGATGGACACCTGTGTGGACAGCTTTACCTGAGGCTTCAAGGTAATGCCGTGAGCTTATTCACTGTGGATGCAGGGGATTGTGTAAGTGCTATAAGGCAAATCTTCAATATACAGCACTCTGTTATTGTGCTGGAAACTGTCATCCATAGTAAATAAATGATGTCATCAGAGACTCTATGATGTAATGAAGACATTTCTTGTGTGTAGACATAAAATGTTCAGTCAGATTATGATCGTGTGTGAGAGTGTACAGAGATGCGTATCTTTACAACAATTTCATGCAAAAAGCACAGCAGCTTCAATCAATTGGACACACTTGAGTAGTGGTGATAACACCACTAGTAGTTGATTGAGAAGAAACCATCTTGCATCTTTTTTGCCATTATTATACTGCATGTTCTACACTACAGGCTGTTAGAATTTCCCCCATCTGACCACAGGGCTTAAAATTCATGAAAATATATTATCAGAAGTGATCATGGTTCATTCATAAAATGTGAATATATATAATAAAATAATAAAAGAAATTAAAAAGGACTTTAGTCATGTTCATATAAGAAATGAAATCAAACAATCAGAACGTAGTAAAAAGTCATTTACGGCTCATTTGATGCAATATTCACATTCAAACCAGGAATTGTAGCAATATTTTTAGATTTTACTGGAAGATTATCAATATATGCTTTACCTGGTACAAATTAGATAATATTGTTACGTCTCCGTTTGTTAATTGATTTTCCGTAACTTCGTTCCGACGAAACTTAAGCGACACAAGTTCTTTCTTAATAAAAACTGGTTTATTCTTCCCGAATACAACTTTACCGATACACACAACTTCAACAATCGCGCTAAACAACGCTCTATCAACGAACGTCAATAATACTTCTGACTGCAGTTCAATTACTCACTATCTACACACACATTACCCTCCCGCGTCACGTTGTCCCCTCTTATATATACCCGCCTACCCCATCTAGCAAACACTAGAGCATTCGCCAAAGTACATGATAGTTCTAGAAACGTTGCGTCACAGTAGTCATGTGACTCGATGACGCAACACAGTTGACGAACATCTACACTAATATAATACTACCATTATTATTATACAGTTGACAAACATCTACACTAATCTAATACTACCATTATTATTATACAGTTGACAAACAGCTACACTAATCTAATACTACCATTATTATTATACAGTTGACAAACAGCTACACTAATCTTATACTACCATTATTATTATACAGTTGACAAACACCTACACTAATCTAATACTACCATTATTATTATACAGTTGACAAACACCTACACTAATATGATACTACCATTATTATTATACAGTTGACAAACATCTACACTAATCTGATACTACCATTATTATTATACAGTTGACAAACATCTACACTAATATAATACTACCATTATTATTATTATAATAATAGTAGTATTAGATTAGTGTAGGTGTTTGTCAACTATATAATAATAATGGTAGTATTATATCAGGGTAGCCACAAAGTTTGCTGTACTGAAATAGCTTTTGTGGCTATGAACTCTAATAGAAGGTATTGCATATCAGATCACATGACTAGTGATGTGTGACTTGTTCTGGATAAAAATTATCTCTGCTTGCCTTCGGTTTGTGTAATAAGAATAACTAGATAACAGTAAAATTTGATCATCTCTTTATTGTTCTAGGTAAAGCTAACCTAGCGGGCTTATATCGCTGCATTAGGCACAGTGGAAGTAGCCCATTGTATAGCCTTGCGTCAAAAACAAACAATATAGTTATCACTTAATATTAAATAGCCGTATATCTAAAACGTTAATTTGATAGTACGTATATAAAACATTGTTTTGTTGTAGGTGTTTCTTGTTTTCCCTGTCTTAGCATACAATAGTAGTCAAACAACAGATGCCATATCATCGTCACCTGTTAGAATACAAAAGTAGTATTTTTCATATGTTTAGTTTAATTCTGTATGAGCAGAAATAGAAACTTGCAGGTAAACCTATTTGTTCATGGCTGGTGGAAGTTGTGGTAACGAACTAATGAGTTTCAAAAAATAACAAATTATTTTTGAAATTAGTCAATGAGTTTCATCGTCTTATATTATGTTACTTTCAACAAGCTACAGATTTTGAAATTCCAACTTATAGTTTGTTTTCCAAGACAACTCCTTCAAAACGCTAAGTTTTCTTAAGAGCTACAAATAATCGGGAGGTGAGTAAAAGGTTATGCCTCAAAAGTATATATTACATAATGTTCTAAAGAAAAACGACTAGTTTTTGTAGAAATGACAAATAAGTAGACACAGTCGACTGTGATTATACAAGTTTATTGAATTTTCCTAAACAGTGTTTAAATATAGAACGTTTTATAAAGAGACATAAATGAACTAGGTTTGTAACAGATTATATGCTAGATAAGGAAACGATTGCCGAAGTGAAATTTCCTACAGATTAGAGTATAAGAAAATAAATATTTTTGTATTATTTTATACCCGAACAATAACTTCAAATTCTTGTCACTTATGAATTGTTTTTTCATGAAATACATATTATCAAAATATTCATAGCAAATTAAATGCTATTCGTTTTAACGTATTTATCAGTGGGTACATAAAGAAATGAAATTTTAGTTTCAATTAATTTAAATTAGTTGACAGATTTCCAGAAGAAACGTAAGTATATCTACACCTACTTTAACAAACTAAAGACAAACAGTTAAAATGGAAAAGACAGGTTGAAAAGGTTTACCGTGTAACAAACTAAAGAAAACAGTTAAAATAAAAAGACAGGTTGTCTCTGACAAAATGATAACTCCGAAGTTTCTATGAAACTCCAGCTTTATACTGTCCCATTCAGTCCATAAATATGTATCACAGTCGTGGATATGTCCAGCAATAAGGATTTTATGTCCAGATGTAAAACTTTTGCCGCCACTAGTAGAGAAGATCATTTGATGTTGGGTGCATGAGTTCCATGTTAATCAGATGTATCTGTGGAAACTGTGGTGGAACAAACCCCGGATCTTTACCACCCATATAATATCTGGCTCGCTGGGAAAGCCCAGTTCTTGATGAACTTGTGTCTGCGTTCTGTAATAAACCATTTCATCAAAATGTCTTTATTTTGTATTTGGTAACTGCCATTAAGTAGTTCTGTGGTTTGACTGGCACCAAATAGAATACAATAAAGTTCATTAATATTTATTATAAATTAGTGCTGTTCAAAATAGAAATAATTCAGCAAAATAGTTGGCATGTAGAACTTTTTGAATTACCAGATAATTAAACTCTTAATGATTTGGGAAACAAGTAAGATAATAAAGTAACTGAAGTTCATACACGTGAAAGTATAACTCAATAATTTGGGTAACAGATCAGATAAAATAACGAAATACCTTAAAAGTTAAGAGTTTGTGCACGTGAATTAATAACTCATTGATTTGGGAAACATTAAATAACGAAGTTAATGTTCCGTATACTCATGAAGTTCGGTTATAGACAATGTTTCTTTGTGTAACTTTGCACATATTGTGTAAAAATATCTTCTCGAGCGTTTGTGTTATGTTACTCAGTGGTTTACATAACATTACGATTAATCCTTATATAATACTATATTTCTATCTGTAGGCAACACTGTACTTTACTTGTATAGAACACTACATTTTTATCTGAACATAACACTATATTTTATGTACGTATATTAGATTTTTATCTTATTACACTTATATTGTTTTATTTGTATATAACACAACATTTGTTTAAATCAAAATTTAACACGTAAATATTAAAGAAACTGCATGTAGATACATAGGGTCCTTCCTGATCAAATATATTAAACTAAGCCACGAAAACAATATTATAAAGCCTGAATTAAACCACTATTGTTAATATTGTTAATATTGTTAATTAATTGCCACCAGCAGCTTACCTAAATGAGTCGGACCTTTTATGTTAAAATAGTGTTTTAATTCATGCTTTACGACGTTTTTTTGTGTATTACTTGGTTTGAATCAAATTATTATTTGTCATAATTTTATATGAAAACAATAACAGAATAAACTTGCATATTTTTCAAATGACTTTTATCTAGATCGTGTTCTAGCATCTGGATCTCAAGTCAGTAGTAACAATTTAAACAGAAGAAACCAGACTGGTGTGAATAGTATGTCATCAGATAAGTTAGGAAACAAAACTTACTCGTTTTTCAGGCTCAGATATCGGGAAATTGAAATATGTCAGAATGTTGGATCGTTCTGTCCCGTATTCAGTTGTCTATACAAGAGGGATAAACGAATACACAAAGTTAAGGTTAATAAAAAACAACAACTGTACATTTGACGAAATGAAAAGTTAGTAACAGGAACTCCTTTAATAGACTAGTCCTTTCCTCCAGATGTATCTACCCACTTTTCTCTTTCCACGCGATAATTCAAACAGGAAAATTGCAATATTTTCTGAGAAACTAATGAGAAACAGAAATTAGGACCATTGATTTTGAAAGTGAATTTTTACCTTGTTTTTGTAGGGGCATTTCATCCTTTTGTTGGGGGAAGCCTATCACATCTAACGCCACTAATTTGTAAAATTCTATAATTTCTCTCCACTTTCCAGATGATACGATATTTATAGTACAAGTTCGCAAGTGTTTACTAATAGACACGTGAAAGCTATTATTTTGGTGTTCTAAACTATATATATATAAGTTTATTTCTTATTGTTTTAGAATGACACAGAACCCTA